GGAAAGAATATAGACCCAACTGATAACTGGTTTCCTTGGAGGAAGACTCGGATTCTTTTATATGTCATATAGTGGTGATCATTTAAATATAAGACTTTCTCCTAATTTTCTGGAGATTCATTAAACTGCAATACTCATATTCAAAAGAAATTATGGCAATGCATAAGTTACGTAGCTCTTTATGCCACAGTATGCATGGTGAACAAAAATGAGAAACTATATTTTTCTAGGAAAATCATTTGTACCCTCTCAAATGATTGTGAGAGCAGCAACAAATAAAAATGCCAAATCTGTATTGTGGTTGCTAACTTGAACCATGCCAATGAACATTCAAAAGATGAATCAAAGGCTTGACAGTTGTTAACAGTTCAACATGGTTCCCATAATCATCCAATTAAACATATAATACAAATAATAGAAGTCTTATGGGTTCCATAGAGCATGAATATCAGGCTGCTTCAGAAAACTATTAACTGTAATGTACTGTCTGCTGAGTCAGAAGAAAGTGAAAGGAGAACTAGTACATTTATAGAGGAAGGCAAGGAGTAGGAAAATAGAGTGGAGAGACACGTAACTCAACCACTCTTTATGTGGTCATATAAACACAACAGACAGTGGTAAAATCCAGAAAACAAAATTTAAGTAACAATTATTGTAAAACCAAAAGAATGCAGAGAAATGACTTTACCCTATAATTCCTACTGGCTGCACTATATCCACAGCATACTTCAACCACACTTTTCTAGCTTGCTGCTAAGTTAGAAACATGGATGTAATTATAGTTGTTGGCTTTTGACTCTGTCTATAAACCATGCAGAGATAAACTGCTATTAGTGAACATACCAACTCCATATAATTGTGTTTTGACATTATAGGTAAAAACAATGAGAAGGAAAACTAACCACAGCAATTATAAACAGCATGCTCCAGGGCACGTCAGGTCACTTATGACCTTGACTAAATGATTATAATCCTTAGGCTGTGTTCTCACACGTTCATAAGCATACACACACACATGCACACCCCACACCTGTCATTTTAGGGAAATGAATTTAGTGACCATAAGAATGACTAAATCATATATTTATAAATGCCCACAAGGATAAAAAATGTATGCTGCCTGAGTCGAGTATCTGTACTTAAAAAAATCTTATTTTAAAAAAACGAATGTAAATTTGAAAGAAAAAAGCTTTGTGGTAAGTGTTCATTCTAAAAATATTCTATTCTGTTGCATGTTCTTCACATGTACCCCAAAACCTAAAATGCAATAAAATAAATGGGGAAAAAAAATATTCTATTCTGCAGCTGTATCTACTTGGGGGCAAGAAGAGCTGCAGAAATGTGATTTAGTACAAAATCTGCTTCTATATAAAATGAATTCAAGTTACATTATTTGGAGGGTAATTTTTAAATATTTAAACCATCTCTTTTCACTGATACCATTTTTTAAATAACCATTGAACTCTTTACCTCATTTTATTTGTTACAGACAGAAATGCTGCATTCATTTCTTTTTGTAAAAGTCAGTCTTCTCCTCTCTCACTAAAGTGGTACCAAGGGATATCAAGAGGGCAATACACATCCCATAAATATTATTAAAGTATGATGTTCTCAGATAAAAAATAGTATTGTGTTTAATGACTTTTACAATCAGCAACAGTAGAGATGTGAAAATCACAATAATGTTATACATGGTGTCCACTTCGAAAAAGTCCAAATTAAAAGTGATGTGACTATCTAATGAGATCACTCATTAGAAACGGCAGTTTATAAACATAATCTTTAGAGTGTGCTAATGTCATTAACATTTTCATCTAGTTGCATATTTCTTAAAAGTGTACATCTTTTTTTTTTTTTTTAATGTACCTTTCTTATTTGGTCTTCTTAATAATCTGATAACGAAGGCAAGAGTAGTTGTCCTTTATGCAGATCAGGAAACAGGTTCCCAAAGCGGGGCCGACTTGCCCAAAGCTACCAGACTAATGAGTTGCTGAATTAGGTCGGGCAGCCAGGTGAGCTCCTCATCCAGGGCTTCGGACCTGAATACCTGGGTTCAAATTCTTGTTCCTCTTCGTAACCATTACTGTATGAACTTTGGTCATGACTGGCTCTCTCCGTCTGAGAACTTTACTTTCCATAATTATAACAGCTTTCACATAAGTTAGTTGTGAGAATTAAATAAAACATGCTATGTAAAGCCCTTAACATAGTCCCAGGCACATAATACGTGCTTAATAAATATTAGATATTGTGGCCATTGTCACTATTACTATCATCTTAGAGCTACTCTGGCTAAGGTAATTTTGGCAAGGTTAAAGGGGGATTAAATAATCACATAAATATCAAATCCAGAGATTAACATTTAGCACACATTTGTAAAGAGGTTAACATTTAGCACACATTTTCAAAGAAAATGAACTGACATAACTGGATATCACTGTAATTCTTGACTAGGGGCTCTAGGGGAAGGACTTGGCATCAGCTGTTCTTAAAAGTTTTCTATCAAAATGCTTGTGTATTTATATCATTACGCCACTCACTGGATACAGGTTTAAGGAATTTAGATTGAGAAAAACTATGCAAATCAAAACTGTGGTAAAATGCAAGCATACTAGTGTCTGTATCCACTTTATCTTGGAGATCAAAGTTCCTCTGTTTTAACTGCCACATTCCATCCTAGACCGAATAGTTTCTGTGTAACTAACTGGCAAGTCTAGCATCTTGACTGAAAGTTCACAGTTAAGGGCTTTGACAAAATGTCCTTGAGGACAATGGACTCCTCATTCAGGGCAAGAGCAATCCTGATCATGCTCAGGGCTGCATGAACTCAAGTTGATTTGGCCTGAGCCGTCTCTGCTCTTTTTAAAGCAACTCTGAAAGGAAATGGAATAGGAAGAGAAAATCATCCACATTCACGTTGGGAGCAAATACATAAAGTCAATATGCTTAAATGTTCTGCGTCAGCATCCAGGAACACTCAAGAAAGCTCTGTTGCTTATAGCTCACTGAGGGACAGAGGAGCAGTGTCTGCAGGACAAACAGATGCACATCTAAGCAGGCAGAAAAAAAACACTTCTGGTAGACAGGAAAAGAAAAACCATGCAATTATTTTTCTCTAGGTAGGTAGGTAGGACTATACCAAGATCTCATGACACTTCTTTAACTCTGCTTCATACACACATTATTATAAAATGCAGCTTATAACCCTTGGAGATACAGAGAAGATCCTTTCATAAAAAATTGTTTTACTGGAGAAGCAGTGGGCATGAAGCTAGGAATATGAGCTGAGAAGGGGCAGTCACAGGTTGGAATTCTGACCCTACCTCTTTCCAGTTTTCTGATTGGAGATTTATTCAATATATTTAACCTCAATTTCTTTGTCTATTGTTTGATGATAATACCTAGTTCCTTGGGTAACTGTAATGATTACGATAAATAATTAATGGGGCAGGGGAATAGGACATTTTGTTGCTTTTACTACTGCTAACACTGCTACCAATTAATACTAACAATTATAAAACAGTAATAATAAGTAGGATTTCTGTCTTTCAGAAGAGAAAGAGAAGTCATTTCTGGATCTTTCCATCACATCCTCTTTCTCAGTAAGATTCATTATCTTATCTAAGAAGGAAATCAATCTTTGAAACCAAAAGAGTGAATGTCATGTATAGGAATAAAGGGTGGGGAAATTTTTGTCCTGCAAACTTATGATGATTTACAAACCTCATAAACTCTTATCTAAATAATCTACAAAGCAAGCACCCCAAATTCAAAAGCTTTTTAATAAAAAATGGAAAGATTCAACCAAAAAAATTATGGAAGCTAAACTACAGTTTCTTTGTTAATCTCTTTTTTTTTTTCTCAGAAAACTCTCATAACAGAAAGAGCCCAGAGTCCATTTACTCAAGTATACATACATATTTTATTTGAAAAATATCCCAACAACAGAAGAAAAATTTATTCTAAGACTTCTACGAAAAACTATTAATTTAGCATAGGGTTAGTGGGACAGGGAAGATTTTTATCATAATTCAGTCATAAAGACCGTGATATCTATTCTTGAACAGCTGGATTACTATGTACGGCTCTTGACTTGCTTAATCCTCTCTTTAAGGATGTTTTATTTTCCCTATCCAGCCATTGTGGACTGCATAAGAAACAGATCCAATTTCAAGGTGTCTTACATAAGCTGCATAGAGCAGGAGAAAACAAAAAATGAGAGACTGCTTAGTTTAGGAAAAAAGGTTTGCTTGGAAATCACTAAAACATTGTATATCAAAATTAATAAAACAAAATCAGAAGCAGTAACTCATAAATCAAAGATAAAACAAATGATTATTTCAATTTTTTTTTTTTTTTGAGACAGAGTCTCTCTCTGTCACTCAGGTGCAATGGTGCAAACTCAGCTCACTGCAACCTCCACCTCCCAGGTTCAAGCAGTTCTCCTGCCTCGCCTCCTGAGTAGCTGTGATTACAAATGCACACCACCACACCTGGCTAATTTTTGTGTTTTTAGTAGAGATGGGATTTTACCATGTTGGCCAGGCTGGTCCCCAACTCCTGACTTCAGGTGATCCACCCACCTCGGCCTCCCAAAGTGCTGAGATTACCGGCAAGGGCCATTGCACCCAGCCCTATTTCAATTCTTTTTAATCTGTCAATAAGTAAAATGAGTTGTTGTTTTTTTTTTTTAATGTGTAGAGGTTATTTCTTACTATCTAATACTTTCTTTTGTCTCTTTTACCTTACTGGGGCCAAAGTAAGTTATGTAATTCAAGTTCTAGAATTACAGTTAAGAAAAGTCCAGAGATAACTGCACGGATTAAAGTTCTGACTCTGTCACTTAACTAGTTTGCCCTCAGAGTTCTCATTTGTGAAGGGACAGTAAAATATCTACTTCATATGGTTACTGAGTATTAAAGAAGTCAAACAGGTGACTTTGCAAACAATGCCTGGTACGTAGTCAATGCTCATTAAATGTTATCTAAATGGCAATGGTCACATATGGAAAAGCATCACAATCTAGAAAATCCTACTCACCTTTACTCAAATTATCTATTAAGCATCAGGTCACTATGTAAAGCCTTAGCTTGTAAGATTGGTATTATCTCCATTTTGGACAAGAAGAAATGGAGCCTCTGGGACTTTCAGACACTTGCTGAGAATTACACAGTTAAAAATGATAAAAACAAGATTTTAGACACTACTCCTGATTTCCAACTTTTTGACTATTTCTAGGGTTCCTTCTAGCAAGTTCCAACTCCAGGCACACCTTTCACTGCCCCCGATGATGGGACACCACCAGACTGACATGTTAACTGCAAAACCTGCATTAAGTCTGCTGACATCTGAGAAGTTGGAGAAATTATTGGGTGTACCCCAATGCCACATTTTATTCTTTTATTTGTTCCATTAAGTGCAATCAATCACCAGGAAGCCTAACACATACTCACTATTCCTCCAAGTTTCATTACAGTTCTTGACTACTCACTTTTGAATGGGAGGGTGCTAGTGTCACTCAGAACCCAATGCAATTGCTCCAGTTAGGAGCAGGGCAGAATCCAGAAATACATCCTGACATGTTTCCAGCCTCTTTCAAGGAAAGCTACATGCTACAAGATGTCATAACAAGCATGCTTGTTACTACTATGTATACACTACAAAAATATTTTTTGTCAGACAGATTAAAAAATTATAGTTGCTTATCAGAATAATTCATTCTCATGATCTCACTATTTTCTTAGAAGTTGTGACAAGTTTTCATGTCATTTCTTTTAGATGATGTTTGCATAATCACTACCATTACTCTTTTTATAACTTATTAAGCACCTAACAGCAACACTTAAGAAAAAGGAACAATAAAAATTGACTAATGCCTCTTAAATTGTCTTTCACTACTGTAAAATTTGTAAAATGTCTGAATTCTCTATATTCCAATTTTAGAACCTGGCACAGTGCCTGATACATAGTAGGTGCTCAGTGAATAGTTGTTGAATGACTAAGCAGCTTCATTGTAGACACAATGGCTTTTAAACGCCATCACAAAGTGGCAAACTGAGAAAGATTTCTTTTTAAATTTCAGTGATCATAATCTTGCTACATGTGCACAACATAATCAGCACTGAACTAAAGAGTCAACAAAACCCACTGCATATCACAATATAGAAAACAAGGGGGAGAGATGTATGAAAATAAGAAAACTGATCACTGTCATCTAAGAACTTAACAGTCACTTCTTATTTGCCTGAGGAGATGGGGAAGTTCAGAGGAACTGAGAATTTCACAAACTAGGTTCAATTCTATCTTTAGGTATACGTTTTGCAAGCTTAAAAGATTGAAAGCTACTTTAAAAGATCTATTATGTAGCTATAGTCACAGGATTACCACAGTTTTCATTTTATAATTTTTCTGCAATTACCTATAAGGAAACACAGAGATTCAGAACAGGCATCATTTACAGAGAACAAAATATTTAAAGCTGGATGTTATTTTATTGTTGGGTATGTCCCTCGATCAGCCTATTGCTTTTAGCAGCAAAAAAGTAAAAATTTGCATCAAGTCAGATACTTTAGTCTGATAATAAAACATACCTCATCAGACAGAAACCATTTTTTCTTCTGCTAAGTTGGACGGCCACACTTGATTTTTAAAATAGTAACAATAGTGATGTAAACTGGACCCAAAACTCAACTCAGCTAACTTCAGAATATTTTTAAATACAGTATTTTTTTGCAGAATATTCTGCTTTCCAGATTTTTTAATTGCTTATAGAATTCTCACTTACAAAATTCCTTAAAACAAATTGACACATGACAAATATATATTGACACTTTTCATTCAACATTATATAAAATAAACAACCAAAATACCAGAATTAGTTTTCAAAGATACTTTACAAAACATTTTAAGACAATGAGTAAAGGATATACACTGAAATCTAGGAGCTAAACTATACGAAAGAATAATTTAGATATCAGAGTTTGATGTTACTATTCAATAATAAAAAAGATTAATCAATCGAAGCCATTTAGTATTAAATATTTTGGCATATGTGTTAAAATTCCCATTAGATTCTTATATTAACAATTTTTTAACGGAACACCAAATTTGTCACCAAAACAAATATTCCAGAAGAGTATATGTCAATGCCCAATGCAGTTCATTTATATGAAAAGTAGATTCTTCGTTATCTGTTTCATTTTGTTTTGTTTTTGTTACATAACCCCTGAGAAAGCTCCGCTTAATACTCACCTCCTCTCCGTGACCTTTCCATTACAGTCCCACAGGGTCCCCTCCCAGAAAGCTCAGCAAATCTAACTATATATAGTAGTTGTTGAGAGGGTTAGGTAGGTGTATACTTGTCCCACTCTCTTTGGCATTTTTGTTTTTGATAAACACTGTAAATGACCATGACCCTTTCATTTCTACTGGTAAATTACTTGGGCAAGGCCAACAGCATTTCACTGTTTTTTCCTAACTTCGTAAAATAAATGCATTTATCAATCATTTTTTCACCTTTAGCTCCAATGTTCAGTATTTTCCTTGAAAGATATATTTTAATAAATTCACAAATGCCTACTTCTTTGACTATATGACGATACATATGGAATCATACTAAACACATACCAAAATAAAAGGATTTAATATACCATATATATACATATTTGCATTGTATTTATCTTTTTTATATTAGTCATTAGATTTTCCAAAGCATGTGTGTGTGTGTATATGTGTGTGTGTGTGTGAATACAAATATACATATATTTGTTATACCAAATACATAATATTTACCAAAATATACAATTTGGGATGCCAAATATAGATGTATGTACACACATACACATACGCACATGTATATGTACATATATTAAAATATATAATCAACATTGAACTAAAGAATCAGCAAAACCCACTGTATATTGCTCTATAGAGAACAAGTGGAAGAGAAGTATGAAAATAACACCTGACTACTGTCATCTAAGAACTTACATTTACTTTTTATTTGGCTGAGGGGATAGGGCAGTATAGAGGAAGTGGGAATTTCACAAACTAGGTTCAATATTTATTTAGTATATCAATATTTGATAGTTGATAAGAAGGTTATATTTCCCTATATATTTGGTATACCAAATATATATATACACACACATAAAAATACACACACATATAATTACACACATATATACACATATAAATACACATATATATACATATATACACACACATATGTACATATACACACACTTTGGGAAATCTAAAGACTACTAAAAAATGACAAGATAAGGATTTTTATCCAGGGACTTATTTATATTACTTATAATACATTATCAGTGAAATAATTTTTTAAATAATGTATCATTTTCAATGAATAAGAGAAAACAGTCACAATTATTCTTCAGAGAATTATCTTACATATAATATTGAGATATTTCTTCCAATCTTATTTGCGGGACTGTAATTCAGTGCTATTGGAAACATAAAGGAAAAAATAAACATATCACCATTCCAGACCATGAAAATGTTCGGGATTTAAAAGTCTTAGTTTCTTGAATACATAAATACCATCGCCTCGAACACTCCCTGCTAGGCAACAGTTATGACTATGTTCACTTTTATCTCCAATTATGTTTGTGCCTGGGATTTTCTTATACTCAAATGAAAGGCCTCATGAAAAATGGATAGCAGTAAAGTATACTGGATTTTAATAGGAAATTTATAGAAGAATCCAGCATCTCTTTGCACTCCTAGGGAAGGCTATTTCCTTAAGTAACTCACAAATATTGAAACAGGCATTGTGATTTGCTGTGGCTCTATACCATTCACATTAGGGGTAGATTTTGAGACCTTACATAGCAACTACAATATTTACATTTTTGCAATATAACTATGAAACCGGAACATTTGCCAAATTTAATATTTTTTCCCCACTTTAGGCATAGCATTGCCCTTAACTTAAAGCCCTGCCCCACAAAAGGGAGACCAAGTTTTCTGGAAGGCTCAGAGAAAGGTAGTGAGCATTCACTGGCTGATCAAGTAAGTACTGAGTACATACTATGGGCAGGCGCTCTGCTGGTTGCTGACTAGAAGTCAGAGTAATAAATGCAAATGTTTTATTGCACACCTACAGTATGACAGGTGTGGTGCTAAGCACTTCACAAGCTTTTTCTCATTTTACCCTCACAACTGCCAAATATAATGCATGTCCACTCCAGAGCTCAGAAAACTGAATCTTAGAAAATAGAACTAATTTACCCAACCATACAACCACATAGTGAATAGTATAAAATAATTGTTAAAATCCCAGCAAAATTTCAGAATATGTGCTATTGTTAATACAGACCCTATAATTCACATGGTTTTATTTTACTCATTCTTAACATTAAAAATATACATATAAGGTAGAAATGATATTTCTAAAACAATGACCAATCACTAGTGCAGATACAAAACAAAGAAAACAAGCCTCAGTAAAAAGTAGATTTTCCTAGTTTGAGGGAATTTTCTTGTGTCACCTCAGTAACGGTAATATGATTTGCCCCTAATGTTCAATATTCAGTTTAAATAACTTGTATTCATTCATCCATTCATTCAACAAACACATAGTATCTATTTTATAGTGTGCTCTCTTAACATTTCCATTGATTGTGGTTTCCTGTAGTTGTATTGTACCCATCCTTTATTCACCAATTTTTCCATCTACAATTGTGCCTGAAAAACATGTTTTCAAATTTTCACCATATACTGTCAAGCTAGAAATTAGCTACTAGAAGTAGCCAATATTCAGCTTTTTCTAATACTAATATCTCTGTTTCAATGTATTAATCTTTGCATTATTCCAGAGTGCCATGACATACGTAAGCACACACAGGGCAGTCCAAAACATAAATTATAGATAGCTCTTTCATGTTACAAAAGAATTCTTGTCTGGGCATGGTGTCTCATGCCTGTAATCCCAGCACTTTGGGAGGCTGAGGCGGGTGGATCACTTGAGGTCAAGTGAAATTCAGTCTCTACTAAAAACACAAAAAGTAGCCAGGCATGGTGGTATGTGCCTGTAATCCCTGCTACTTGGGAGGCTGACGCAGGAGAATCAGCTGAACCTGGGAGGTGGAGGTTGCAGTGAGCCAAGATCATGCCACTGCACTCCAGCCTGGGCGACAGAGACTCTGTAAAATAATTCCTACCTTAACAGAAAGGTTCACTGAAAGTTGCTTTTTGAAATTAAATTCCCCTTGTGAATTTAATGTCTTATTTACTAAAAATTAAACTAATAAAAAAATGCCCAGAAACATCTCTTACATAAAAGAAGTTATATGGATGTTTGTTTTAAACTTAAAAAAGAAACAAAATTTTCTTTAACTGAAATGATACATGCCACACAAAGGAAAATGGAGATGTAATAATTATCAAGCTAATTGGAAAATTATAATCACCCAAAAGCAAACTTATACCAGCTCCTCATAACTAGCTCCTACATTTTCTTTAAAAGTCTGACTTTCCGTTAAAAAAAAGTTTCTTATAACAAATCTCAAACATCTCTTCTTATGTTATTGGAAAATTGGCAGTATATATTTAAGGGTCCTTTCTGTTTTTCAACCAGTATATAAATCTTGTTATTAGTTGACTGCAACTTAGTGTATCTTCCATCCACACCAAAAAAGAAAAAGAACATGGCTGCAGACTGATTTCATTAGAATACTTCCTATGAAAAGGTATATATATTTCAAAAAACTGGTCTCTTGAATTATTTTATTTCAATTGATTACAACTGAAATGCAAGATGCTTATTTTTTTATATAATTTATGCTTATTTTTTCTCCTACAGTAGTAAAAGAAACACATCCAAAGTCACACCGGGCCTCTCTTAGACTCCGTATCGCAAATTGTAAAGTGAGAGGATCTGCAGGGATTTTCCCAACTCTAAAATTCTACAAGTTAAAGACATCTTTCTTAAAAAGCAAGTTTTTATCTACATTGAACCAAATGAGTTGACTATTGGACTTTGAATTGAGCAACATGGAAGTATTACTCAAGAGTCAGGTTACACATTTTCTATTTCCCTTTAACAAATAAAATGTATTAAAATCCCAAATTTAGCAAGCATATGCTAAACTTTATTAAGTATTTCTTACTATCAAGAGGACTGCTCTCTCGAAATAACCAGACACGAAATTCCTAGGATGCTAGAGCTAAGAGGGACAGTGGATGTCCTCTAGGCCAACTCTCTTCCCTGAGAGGGACAAAGTTTCCTAAGCATCTATACGCACTAGGATCACCAATGCTTTTCTCTGCCACTTCAGCAAGCTGCTCCAATCACTATATGGCATAGAGTAAAACTCTACATCAATAAACAAAGGAATAGAAGAAGGTAATTTCATTACCAGGTCACTAAATAATTTAGTCTAATTTTTCTTTTTTTAATGTAAAGACCTTATGTTCAGAAACTTACATTTCAAAATACATTAAGTAAAATCATGTCCATATGCAGATATGTCTTCTCCCATATGCATCTTAAGAAAATAAACAAAAAAATTTATCATCAGCCCCTAGAAAACAAAAACTGAAATTAAAAGAATGGAGTAAATCTAAATTGTATATTTTCATTCCTTGTAAAAGGATTAAATAACAGAATTCTAAATGGTTTGTTTGTACTTTCCATGCAATATGTAGATTAACCATGAAATTCTGTTTGGGACACTTTGACATCTGTTTTCAGTGCATTACAATGAAATCTGGGGACTTGATACATACATTTGCTGTAATAAAACTGTCACTAATCAGTGTTTTCCAAAATATTGCCCATAACTATTACTATTCAGTAGTCTCATTTGCATGATCTAATATTGTTGCTACATCATGTTTTTCCCTGACAACGTGTTAGCTGGTCCCAGGCACATGGTCGAAAATGGCTGCAAACTACTCAATAATCTCAGCATTTCCATAGTACTCTGTATATATGCATGCAATCTGTCCTAGAATTGAACTAACACTTTATCCTTCATGAAATATTTTCTCTGTAACTGGAACACCCAAGGTTGAATTCATATCCCTGAGTATAAAAAAACTCAACAACAATAAAGAAGCCCACAGTGAGGAGGAGATTATGTCTCATGGGCCTTCCACAGCAGGAGACGCAAGCACAATCCTTACTCAGGAGTGCCTTCAACAAATCTGTAATGATGCTTTCTGAACAGTAAGTGCAGAGTCTATCAGTAACTTAGGCCACTTCTAGGAACTACAGAACAAGACTGAACTACACTTTAAAATGTACTCTACCTCCCTTTCTCTAGGATTAATAGATCATCACCTTATCAATGACAGATACCAAGAGCCACAAGTTCACAAGATGTTAACACAAACTCCTGGATAATAGATTGAAAATCTGTTTCTGTTTCATATTGCATATATCTGGTGTGTCATGTACAAAATATGGATCTCAGGGGAAAAGCAAGTCTGACAGCCCAAACACGGTATTCACCAAAAAACAAAAACTTACTAAAAACAATTTGTCTACCTATGTTGACTCTAAATGAATTCCATATTTTACCAGTGCTTGGCATTATATTCATATTGCTCAACAGTCCAATACAATTTCATTTTGTCCTCCCATGAACTCATCTTAAACCCAAAATATGTTTCTCCATGCACATGTTTTATATTACACAAATGTTGGATACAAAAAGCAGATTAACTGTAGGCCCTAATGCTGTGTTTGTTAGTACTAAGAAGTCATTTCAAATGTTCCAAAAGGGATTAATGTAGTATAACAAGTCTATTTAATTATTGTAAGACCAGTGATCCTCATATTACTATAAGCTGCTTTTCCCTTATTTGGAGACTGTAAATAGAACAGAAATTGGTACATGATAACTCTAAGTCATATCCTAAAATGTTGATGCTTTACCATTAGGAATAAAGAAATATGCAAGCATCTCTGAGAGGCTGTGAAAGGCAACTAGTATTTAAGAACCATGTATATGTTCCCATTTTAAGTGAACATCAACTTTAAATCATAAGTGTAAGCAAGCTTTCAAATGCATTAGAAAGACGTAATACCAAATCCTTCTGCCATCAACAGCGATCCCAGTTTACATATGTTAAAAAACTGTGGATGCATTTTGTTTCATGCATATGGTTTTTTATTTTTGTGTATCCCATGAACAGAAGTGTCACTAAACACCAGTATATTATCAAAAAGAAAAGGAATACCACAATTATTAAAAATTATGTGCCAGAATCCAAACAAGCTAATCAATGTTCTGATGCTGCTTTCTGCACACCCTAGTTACCCTTTAACTAATGGACAAACAGTGAAATAACTTCTCCTATTAACTCATGGCTAGAACCCCTAGGTATAAGACATATTTATTATAAAGTGCTCCATATAAGAATATGATGCCTTTTTACGCTGCATCAATGTGACACGTGATTTAAATATCCCTAGCAGGGATTGCGGATATGGGCTGATCACTCCACCTCCTATGAAAATTGAGGGGTACAATTCGCTGGCTGTAGAGAAGCACCAAAACTAGTTCCTCCAAGGATCCAGCCACGTAGTTGGTTCCATGACCACATGGATCCAACCAATCATAGCTACTGAAGTAAAACACTGTGATCCCAAGTGACAGTTTGGTAAGAGTAAATGTTTTAACCGTTTTCCATTTGACTTCCAGGTGTTCTTAGAAAAGTGAAGTCAATTTGAGTAATAAATATTAACTTATTTCCTGTGAAGCTCATTTAATTATTTAATTTTTTAACATCATAAAAAAGGAGAAATGGGAAAGAGTGACTTAAAGGAGAAAAATTAAATGGCAATAAAATCAAAACAATTCATGCAACTGATTAAACGGTTTGAGGTTTTGACTCAACTAAGGGTCATTTTTAAATAAGATACTTTCGGACTTTAAAAAGAGGCTAAAAACCAGCAGCATGCTTTTTTAAGAACAATCCAGTCTAGTCACATCATCACTTCTGCCCAAAGAAATCTAAAACATAAGCGTAGTTCTCCCAAATGTTGGCAATTCAATTTTTTGTACATGAGAGTTTCACACTTTCATTGGAATGCAGTGAATTACAAGTACTTGATAGGATACCCTTTATCCACACAAAGTTGAGTTATTTATTCAGAGAACCACTAATAAAATTATTTTCTTCTTTCCCTTCAAATATACCTAGATTGATCAATAAATTTATTCTTTAGTAAATCGGAGATAAAATGGCTTCTAAAACCATATAATCATTCTAACTTAAATGATTTTAAAACTATACACAACTAGCTAGCTTCATGTGCCTATACAAAGAGTTTTCAATAATAAATATTTATGCACACTATACTATGAGCAGGCCTTTGATTTTCTCTTTGGTATGTCTTATTACCTGAGATAAATATGAACTAAATGATGACCCTCCGCTTCACATCCAGTCATTCCTTTTTTTTGCTACTGGATAGTTTCTCTGGCAGTCTAAATTATGCTATGTTCCTCCATATATAGTAGTAATTGCTATTATTAACATTATTGCTTTTACTTGCATGAATTATTTCATTTAATCCTAAAACAGCCCCGTGAAGTAGGCATTTTAATCCTCAATTTACAAAACAGAAAAGCAAAGCATGTGGAGCTTACGTGACTCAACCAATGTCACAAAGCAGATAAATGGCAGAACCAAGACTAGAACCCAAAATGTCAAATTCTATGCACATGATTTTTGTTACAGATTGAATGTTTAGGTCTCCCTCAAATCCCTGTGTTGAAATTCTAACCCCCTATCTGATGGTATTAGGAGGTGGGGTCTTTGGGAGATAATTAGGTCATGAGATTGGAGCTTTCACAAATGGGATTACTGCCCTTATAAAAGAGATCCCAGAGAGCTCTCACTCTTTTGCTGCCATGTACAGAAACAAGAAGTTGGCACTGTGCAACCCAGAAGAGAGTCCTCACTGGGACTCGACCATCCTGGCACTCTGATCGCGGGCTTCCAGCCTCCAGAACTGGGAGAAAC